CCTCCAGACAAAGAGAGACCTTTTTTTTTTTTTTTTTTTTTTGGCACTGGGGATGGAACCCAGGGGCACTTTGGATCACTGAGCTATATCCCCAGCCCATTCTATTTTTTGAGACAGGGTCTTGCAAAATTACTACAGCTGACCTTGAACTTGTGCTCCTCCCATCTCCATCTCCTGGGTGGCTGGGATTACAAGCACATGGCTAGGGAAAGGTCTTCTACAAAGTGCCCTTACCTGCCAGATCAGACAGGAGACCTCAAATCCAGGGAGGATCATCACAAGGAAAGTGATGATGCTATAGTTTGGCTCTTCAATGTCCCCCAAAAGGCCTGCCTACATGTTAAAGGCCTGGTTCCCAGGGTGGCATTACTGGGAGGTGGTGGGACTAGTGGGGAATTCTTTCAATCCTTGGGGATGTAACTTTGAAGGTAATAGTAGACCTCTTACTCCTTCTTCTTTCCTTTTGCTTTCTGGTCATGAGACCCAAAGCAACAGGGCCAATAGTTTGGTGAGCTTTTAAATTTTAACCATAATTATGGTTTATGTTTATTTAAAGCTCACCAAACTTCTTTGAAACTATTACCTTAGAATTTTAAGTGTGATAGTCAGCATTCTATCACTGTAAGAAATAACTTGAGATAATCAATCTATAAGAAAAAAAGATTTAGGGGCTGGGGATGTGGCTCAAGCGGTAGCGCGCTCTCCTGGTATGTGTGTGGCCCGGGTTCGACCCTCAGCACCACATACAAAGATGTGTCTGCCGAAAACTAAAAAATACATATTAAAAATTTCTCTCTCTCTCTTTAAAAAAAAAAAAAGAAACAAAGATTTATTTTGGCTCAGTTTTAGAGGTTCCCATGCATGATCAGTTGGCTTTGTTGCTTTTGGGTTTGTGGTGAGGAATTGTGTAGTGGATCAAAATCACTCACTCTATAATTAGTAAACAAAAGACAGAAAAGGGTCTCACTATCCCCTTTAAAGGCTTAATCCTAGTCATCTGAACACTTCCTACTAGGCCACACATTCTAGAGGTTCCACCTCTAGAAGGTTTGAATAATGCCAACTTGTAGAGCTAAGTCTTTAACCTGTAAATCTTTGGGTGGTGAGAGCCATAGCCAAGTAGGAATGACGCATGGCAATTTCCTTGTCAGCCTACCCAATGTTGCTTAGAGGGAGGACTCTCCATTGTGGAAATGGGCTTGCCTTGAACCCAGTTCATTTGCAGTGACACTGCATGAATGTTTGAGAGTTTTGGTTTTAAAGGTGACCTTGCTCAGGGATTAGGGTGGATCCTGCTGGATTAAGGGTGGCTCCAGGTTTAGGGTAGATCCTGCTGGGAATAGGGCATATCCTGCTGCCTCAGGCCCCCGCTCCTTAAGTTCCCGTGGAGTTCTCTCCGGGTTCTGAGAGTATTTGGTATGCAGAGCCCGGTGGAGGTAGTGTATTTTCCCCAGAACCTGTGTGTAGAGTGCCAGTAAGAGTTCAGGAATAAAGAGTTGCTGTTGGAATCTACAAGTTTTTGTGGTGGCTAGGTTATTTGGTGCCCAGCCAGACTGTGGCATTTGGGGACATTTAAGATCCCAAATATAAGAGATTTAGGGTGTGGTTCAGTGGTAGAATGCTTACACAGCATGTAGGGGCGCTGATTTTGATCCCTGGTACCAAAAATAAATAAATAAATCCAAACAATAGGACTAAATTAATTTAAATGCTGGATATTCACTGAATATCTTGATCACTTCCAAGTAAAATAAAATGCTGAAACATTAATTGCTGAACACAGGTTAAGTTTACTTACCTGTAAGTAAACTTATTACAAAGGATTAAAGATATTTAGGGTATATTAATAAAAAAATTGTACTTTGAGGAAACATGTATTTGTTATTATTATATAATTACTATTATTGTAAAAGGTCTGGCGAAATGTCGGAGGGAGAGACCACCCAAGAGACTGACTCCATGCAATTGGCAAAAGGGGATATTTATTGGGGATCCATTCCAGCGCGCTGGGACTCTGTGC